TTATGCTTTCCCTTCCCCCTTAAAGCTGAGGGAAGGCAAACACAGATATTAGTCACAACCATCTGAAGCATCAGCAGTTGTGCAGAAGACTTAGCGTTGTCCATTTGGTCACACCTTTATGAAAGTTATTGCAGAAAGTGGTACAATTTCAGTCCTTTTTAATTATTTTTTTTTTAAACTCACCTTTGTAGGGCTATATAAAGAAGTTGTTTTGGTATGGTAAATGACATACTTCTTTATTAAGATGATCTGCTACTGCTAAAGAGTTACTCTTTTGATTTGTCACATTTTTTGCTTTTCGCTCGTTTATTAACTTGATTCAGTGTAAAATAATTTCTGGTCTTAATACTGTATGAATTACTCTTAATTGGCCAAAGGTTATTAGATAGAGTGTATGGATTTAAATAAATGTTGTGTTTTTATGTAAACGTGTTAATTATACCAAAGTTACTGAAATGCCCCTGTTCTAATTGGCATGTGCCTACCCTTACTACTTCCCTTTAAAACAAATACCTTTCCTTTCTCTGCTATTTGAATTCTTGGGAGAAAACCCCAAACTTGAAAACTTACAATGTATCATTTAGTTTACAAACATTGCATTTCTTTTTCTGTATATAAATATAGAGAGAGAGAGAAAGAGAGAAAAAATGAGAGAGAATGTGCATTTGGGAAGAGGGCTCAGTTCCAAAAGCAATCTCTATTTCATCACTTTGATCAGGCGATCTAGATTTCATTCTTGTTTTTTCTTCTTTTAAAACATGAATATTTTTTAAATGACATACTACCTCAGCAATGAGGCCTGTTTATTGGCATGGCTCTGGATATACTTTTCTCTTTTAGATGGGAGAAGTACTAACAATTTACCCACCGAATTACAGAGCAGGTGAGGTTTGGTCTAAGATCACAAAGCATAGGTTTTTCTAATTCCATGTTTAATCTATAAAAGGCAATGTTAGACTAAATATTTGGTGGTTTAATTGATAACCATAAGGGAAATGCGTGACAAGCAAAGCTGTCCTCGCATTAATGGAGAAGATATTATCAAAATATGCTGTAAATACAAAGTAAATTACTCTTATCAACCTTTCTGAGGTTAAATTTAAAACATTTTTTTGTAGCCTGTTTTGAGTAGATTGGGATTAGATCTCACTCCCTTTGTTATAAGGAATACTGTTTGGTTTTTTATCCTAACATCTTTCAAATACAGACTGCTTCTCATTGGGCAGTTTCTTTCATTCTTTTCTACTTTTTTTTTTGGTGTGTTTTTAAAAACACAAAGATAAGAAGTATTTGTCTGGGATATGAGGTTTATCTGGACCACCAGTACCAAAGCACTGTATTGCCTGATGGCAAACATGCTTTTTAAAACCAAGAGGCTTCTCGGTGCTGACGGTGACAAATACATTTGTGCAGAAGTTTGCTATTGCTGGCCTACATGCTTATATTAAGGTCTTCTGCTCCTGCATTTAAAGCCTGTCCTTACTGCCCCTGAATTGTCTTCCTGCACTTTCCTTGTGTCATATCTACAGTTAATGATCTCTCTCTCTGTTTAGGAGTGAGCATCTTTGCATAGATGCAGTTAAAATGTTTTCATTATTCTAAAGAGAAATGCTGCCTGAAGTTTTCAAAGGAGCACAAAAGTAGATGTTGCATCATAACAGTTCATTAGGTTCCAACATAAATTGTTGGGGGATAGGGTCCAAATATGTAGACGGAGGGTGCAAATTAGTCTTAAGAGCATCAATCTGTATGGACTCTGAATAGTAGATTGTACTTTTAAGTCCTGCTTCTCAGTCTTTAACTGATAGAGTGCTACTTAAAGAGTCAAAGTAGGTGTTTTTCTTGAAGATTTAAAGCAGCAAACATTTTCGTTAGTCTTTAAAAACTGGGAAGATGAAATTCCAAGGACTTGACTCAAGCATGTTCTGATGGGGTGCAGTCATGGAAACACACACACGTAACCAGCAGTGTCCATCTGGGGGCTGTCTTTGTCTTGTCTGAAAGTACTGAAGTGTGTCAGCTCTGAGTCTGTGTTAATGTACCTTAATATTCCTTGTCTCAAGAAAGAAGGGATCTCAAAGTCGTTTACAGACACTGTGGGACGATGTTTACTAAGTTAACCTGCCCTTTTGCTCTGGCATTCGATCACCACGGGCAGAACTGCTAACATGAAGGCACATCGTAGCGCAAAGTGGGTGAAAGGTGTGTGCTTCCTAGGAAAAGTATCTGCCGGAATAGCTGCCATCCTCTTCTCCCCAGTGGTACAAACAAATACAGGAAATGTACTTTGCTAGAAGCAGTGCGGTGTGGAGATCTACCATATTGTTCATGGTATATTTTGCTTCATTACTTGTCTCTCAAAGCATTTAACTCAATTTTTGGGTGATTTAGACTGTAGTTTTGAAGTGAATTTTTTTTTGTATAAATCATGTAGCTGACGCTCAACAAATCTGTATTGTGTTTGTGTTCACTTGTGCAGTGTATCAGTGTTAAATGCTTTATGAAGCAAAAAATTATTCTGTATTTTAAGTGCTGTTTGTATTTTTTTTGTACGATCTTAATGCTTCTTCCATGATACAGTAGAACTTCAGTCACAAGTTTCAATCCTTTGCAGATGCTTATAAAACTGTAATAGGTAACTAAGAACAACCAGTAATGAAGTTCTAAGGACATTTAAAAGTTGCATATTTTTCATAGAGTATTCTTTTTATTCTTGTAACACATCAGAGGCACAGATGTCATATGGAAAAAATGCTAATTCCTGAAATTTCATAAAGACTAAATTATTGTGGTTTGAAGTTCTACTACATAGTATGTGCTTCATCTGTATTGGGAAATTAGTGTTTCAAGCTGACAAGTTCTTGCTCCTTTTTGACAATTTACCAGGGAACACTTCAGTTCTTTGGCAAGTCTGTGTTTTTTAAATCTTGTTATGAGGACACGTGTGACACTGCAATACAGTCCTTGAGAGAAAGCTCCATTCCTGGGAAATATGCATTTAGAGCAGAGGACTTAAAGCTGGGATTCCAGTGGTCTGGTTTTGACTCTAAAATATTTGGCATGCCGTGTTACTGAATGGTATGTAATTCTGGCTTTCCAAAGATGCTGAAGGTATCCATCCTCCACTGAGTTTGGAGGTTTTCTTATAATTTGGCCTATTGACTTTCTGTACCTAATTAATTAGTATATGAAGTTGGTGTAATATTGATTAGCCGCTAGGAGACCTGCCTGTGTCAAATACAGAAATACATATAATCTTTCATGCAGTTGTTTCCATGTTAGATGTATAGACAAGATTAATTTTCTTTAATACCTACTAACTGGTCACTCTGTGGTCGAGCTCTGCTGTAACGTGGATTTTTTTACAAATAATCATTATTACTTGTGTGACTGGTGATTATTTCTTTTTAGCCAACAGGTGGCTTTGACGTTACTATGTAACTTTTAACCTGTTTGTACAGGTTTTGTTATTTGAAAATGCTATTTCTTTTTAAATGAGTTATTATATAATATATTTTAGAAGGTGAACTTGTGCTAGTGAAAGGTGTCTGTCTGCTGGAGACTAAAGTTTCTGAAATACGCTGATAATCCTTTGTTACGTAAAACAAGAGAGATTGCTTCTGTCAAGTAATCTGAAGAGTAATAAATGAGTAGGTGTGTAAGAGAAGTGATGAGAGTTCTACAGTTCTATAGCAAGACGTCTTGCTTCAAACACTCTGGTTTCAGGTATTCTACAACTAAATTTAAAGGAAGTGTCTGTAAAAGTGCTCCCTTTTCTGAATTTGTACAAATTTTCAGTTCAGAAGATCAATATTTTAAATATATTTATAAATAAAGACATCAGAGTAAGGAAGGCAATTTCAGTATCAACTTTGTAGTGCAATGCAGTAGTGCTTTTACTCTATGAAAAGCTTACACAACATGTAGTATTGCTTTTCTCTTCCATGCAACTTGCACATAAAATCACATCTTAAGATAATACAACTATATGACAGAACAGCAATGATTTAACACAAAACAGACTTTTGATCAAATCATTTTGCTTTGCAACTGAAATTCAAATAGTGGAATGACTGTCCTGTTAGGTGTTGATGCTGCAGAATTCAGTTCTTCACCTCAGCAGAAAGCCAGCCCAGTCCTTCACCAGTTCACAAACAAAATGTATTAGTATAAAATAAAATATTGTCAACTGCTTTTAAGAGCAATAAAAAGCCCAAATAGCTAATTAGTATAATATGAGAAAAAGTTCAAGCTGTAAGACCATTCAAAATAATCTATTGTTTGAGAAGAAAGCCAGATCTGCTAAAATTGGTGGTATGAATGATGCCTCTTCTCTGAGGGTGTTGAATCTCTCAGCAAAAGCTGTTTAGGCAGCAGAAGTGGAAGAAGCATAAACAAAGAAACTTAATGTGCAGAAGCCACACCAAAAGCCAGCTGGAGCCGAGAACAGAACACTGATCTCCCAGTCCTCTTCTGGCCACACAGTGGGACTTGCTATGTTTGTGCTCTTTCCTGTCCAAAAAGGAATTACAATTTTACATTACTTTCACTGAGGATTACAAGACTTACTCCATTTTGCTTTCCCTATTTTAAGGTATCAAAGGGCAGCTGAAATGGAATGGCTTTTTCTCCCTGAAGTTTATGGTTTGAAGCCTGATTTAATTGAAAGTTAAAACCATTGTAGGAATGAGAACAACTTCAGTTTTGTTTTTTACTTTTTTGGGGTGCCCACTTACTACACTTTTCCTTGTTTTCTCTTGAGCTGTCGACTGATCATGAGAAAGTTTTTTTTCAATAAACTGGCAAGGAATGTTACAGGAATCAGTGGTGGGGTTCCCAGATGAATAATAATTAAAAAGAAAAAAAAAAGTCTTACAGAAAGGCAGTGACAATATGCAGGAAAAAAAGTACAATAACATAGATTTTACCAACTTCATTAATATATTAAGGTGTTATTACAACCAAGTTGGAATACTGTCAAATTCTGTGTTTATATACAGGAACTTGACGAGAGGAGTTGGTAGATTTAGAGAGTTACTAAGAGCTGTTGAAACAAGAACTACACAAAATCTGCGAATGGTAAGTTATATTAAACCACATTCCTATTGCAGCATCTGAATTTTAGCAGATGGATGAGTTAGAAACAAATAATGAGCTATGCAATATATTGATCAGGATCTGTTGTCTACCAATTTATAAGGTTACATTGCCTGGCTTAAGTGAATGGTAATAAAAATAAAAAGGAATGATAGATATCCAGTCTTTCACCTATTTCTCTTTCCTGTTTGTGGTTATGGACAGAACCTGATTGGTCTCCGAGCATACTTTCAACCTCAAGGGTGTTGATTCATCATTTTGTAATGTAATGGGAGTGAGGACAGAGTGCAGCATTTTTATGTGGGTTCTGTTAACTTGGAAGTTATCAAGTTATCATTTCTTGTATTTTTGTGATAAAGCCTCTTAAAGGAAAACAATTTTTAAAAGTCATTAAGATTTGTTATTTATATTATCAGAAAATAAAACTTTACCGAAGGAGTGAGATTTTTTTTTTATATATATATATATAGAGTAAAGGGCCAAGGCTTACTTTTTTGTAATGCACTCTAATGTAGTGATTTTCAAAATGTCCTAGATTAGTTTCCTAATACTAGACCTTTAAAACTAAGGAAGGTAATTGGTTTTGTAATTAATTTCATAGATTGATGGAATGGTTTGGTTTGGAAGGGACCTTAAAGACCATCTAGTTCCAACCCCCCTGCCATGGGCAGGGACACCTTCCACTAGATCAGGTTGCTCAAAGCCTCATCCAGCCTGGCCTTGAACACTTCCAGGGATGCCTTCAGTTTAATAACTGATTCCTTGTAAGGATATTAAAACTTGTAAATAATAGACTTCCAAATGGTATGGGTATGAAGGTGGAAGATGCTGATCATATGGTGCTGTCCATGGCTTAAACATCACACACCTGTTGCTGGGAAATGTTATTCAGAAATACTGCCAATTCTGATGCAAATGTAGATTTGCCTTCTTTCTACTGCCCTGGTGCTAATCTCCGAGTTTGCAACATGGTGATACAGAGTCATGCAGCTTGCGTGCATATGTATTATACATTAAAAGGAGATTTACCCGATAGTTACAGATTATAAGACAATTTCAAAGCTTTCAGTTAATATTATCTACCTAAATAATATTTGTATAAATACTTCTCCACTTAAATATATGGTACCAAGAACAGTTGGTCAAAATTAACTTTCTCATGTTGATCTACAACCTCGTCTCACTCTTGCTGAGCCTTACCAATAGTAGCAAATACCAGCACCTTCAAGTACAAATTGTCAGCGGCCCCCATCGGTTAGTGTTTGGGCTCTAACTGTCTGTGCTGGGTGACCTTGTCTGACTGCCACATGCGGACCCAGCTGCTCTCTCACCCCCCTTCCTTAACGCAACAGGAAGAAAATAAGATAGAAAAGCTTGTGGGTCGAGGTAACAACAGGGTGTTCGTTTACCTGTTAGTCTCACAGGTGAAACAGATTCAACTTGGGGGAAATAACTTGATTTATTCTTAATTCAAAGAGAATGAGATGGTGAGAAACAAAGGCAAAAACTGAAACACCTTTCACCCACCCCTCTTCCCCAGGTTCAACTTCAATCCTTCATTCCTGACTCTTCTCCCTCCTCTCCCTATGTTCCCACTCCCTGAGTGGTGTGTGTGGGGTGTAGGGTTGTGGTGAGTCCTTATAACAGTTCCTCTCTGGTGATCCTTACCCCTTACCCTTTTCCCCTGCTTCAGCATGGGGTCTCTCCCATGGGCTGCAGTTCCTTCAGGGAATATCAACCTGCTGCAGCATGGGGTCCTCTCAGCAGGCTGCAGTGTGGGCATGAGCTCCACGGGGGTCTCTCCCATGGAAATACCTGCTCCTGTGTTCCACTCTTGGGAGCAGTAGTTGGTGGTTTTGATACTTCAGCAGTAACTGGATTTAACTGATAAAATTGAAAAATCGTTTGTTACTGACCATTGTTTTTGTGTATGTTTGAAGAATTGCACTAGGTACTTGTACCTTTCAAAGAGCAGCATGACTGGTTTTTTGGATGTTTTTAAATAACAGAAAATATGTTCTAGATTACTGGTCTTCCTTAGAGATAATGCCAGTGTTTTGAAGAGTTTGTATTCAGGTTTTCAAGGGAAAATATTTATCTTTACCAAGAGGGTGCTCAGACACTACAGCAGGCTTCCTAGAGAGGTGATTGATGTCCCAAGCCCGTCAGTGTTTAAGAGGCATTCGGAAAATGTGCTGAACTGGTCAGGTAGCTGGACTAAATGATCACTGTAGGTCCCTTCCAACTGAAATAGTCAATTCTGTCTTTCACTTTTACAGACTATAGCAAGACAACTGGCTGAAATTTTGTTACGAGGCATGTGTGAACAGAGTTATTGGAATCCACTGGAAGATCCTCCTCACCAATCACCCCTAGATGATCCACTTCGAAAAGGTTCAAATACTAAGAATTATGCACTCAGTAGAAGACCGCGAGTATACACTGGAGAAAAGTATGGCTGAGTTTTTACCTAACTTGTTTCAATAATTGCAACTGTTACCCAGTGCGCAGGATAATTTACTTTATATTGTTGAAATGTAGAAGGAAATAAGCAATGTGAATGGGAATGTTTCCCCTGCTGTGTGTATATGTATTCCATAGAGAGAACTGGAGTAGCAACATGCTTCTCCAAGCAGAAATTTGCACTATATGCAGGAGACCTTTTGTTCTCAATTCTTAAAATGTTTTGGGTTTGGTTTGTGTTTTGGTTGGTTGGTTGGTGTGTGTGTTGGTTGGTTGTTTTTTTTTCTTACTATATCCGCAGTATATGATAGAGTCAGTATCTCATATTATACCTGGGATACGGAAGAAAACATGAACTGTTTGGCAAATTTGAGACTGCACATTTTAATTTTTATGTGCCTCAGCCTCTGTTCTGCCTTATCACAGAAAGGAAGGAGTTAGCACCGTGGAGATTCAAATTAATCCCTGAAGCATTATAAAAAACAAATTATATTGAGCAAATTATCTAGCAGTTTCAAAGGTAGCTTGTTTCCCAAGGCAGACACCTTTTAATCTTAAGTTAATTTTGACCTTTTTGTTGAGTTTTACACTTTCACTGATTCAGATGAGTGCTATGATGTGGATCATTTTTGTGTAGCATATCCCATGGTTCATTCTAGAATAGCTTTGGTGTGTATCTTGAGAAAACCCATCACCATTAGTATTAGTATTAAAAGTGGATAGCCATTTCCTTGAATTTGAAGTTTTTCTTAAAAGTTAATAGCTTGGGTTTTGTTTGTATCTGATCAGATGAAAAATGGTTTCTAAGGTAAAGTTGTTTTCTTCAGACACACTCTGACAGTGCCAAAAATTAGATGTTGACAAAATTTTGCACTTTATTACAGTCCTTGGGTGTAATTTACTGCCTGAAAGCAACATGCTTGTGTCAAAGCATACTAGTGAAATCTTAACCATTTAGCACTGTCTTTTTTAAATTATTTTTTATTTCAGTGATCCTAAATTTGATCTGACGAAACTTTGTTGCATGCTTGTGTTACATAATATGCAACCTTTTCGCTCCTCTACTTGTATTCCACATGAACAATCTTGTGGGATCTTGTTTTTTTATATATATACACACATATTTAATCTAGTCACAACTATTGCATGCTTAAAAGCACTGTGACCCAGAGAACTGAATTAGATTGTAGCAATGGAGATAATGATCTAGTCAAGATTGGAATTTGCCATAGTAGGACAGTGCTGAGTAATGCAGATGGAGAAGATGCCAATTCCATGTAAATTTAAGAAAAAAAAATTAACAGAAGACACTCTGAAATTTGGAGAGTATCACTGTAGGCATTCAAAATTCAACTGGACATAGTCCTGAGCAACCTGCCAGTTGACCCTACTTCGGGTGGAGGGGCTGTACTAGATGAACTCCAGATACCCCTTCCAACCTCAACTATTCTGTGATTCTGTGAAATTGGTGTGATCTGAGAATCTCTTTCGAGGAGGCTGTTGTCTGTTCCATATGAAAATTTTGACCCCTTTTCTCCAAAGAATTTATTATTATTTATTTTTAATATTGTTGTCAAACTGTAGGATTAAAACCCAGATGTGAGTTTCTAAATTTCAGTCTTGTCTGACTATGTCTAGGATGTGAGGTCATTAAAAAAACTCTTCTGAGTTTAGGAAAAGGTGAAGACATAGAGTTGAACATTCAATTTGCCAAAATATCTACTATGTTTCTCTGAAAATACATAATTAACAAACTATACATGCAGGCAACCTTTTTGGTAAAAGGGAAATACCTGCTCTGTGGATACACCTTGGTCACTGTGCTTAAAAAGTGCGTTTACTGCCCAAACACAAGGAAATCTTTTATGTAGTGTCACACATTTTCTCATTCAAACTACTTGGTTTCACATCCCAAATCCTAAAGAACAATCTGTTCCTCTCTTAAGATATAGATGCCTTATTAGTTAATATGAAAGCTTTTTTCCAATATGTGACCTTGTTGTTATGTGCAAAAGGGTCTGGTTCTATGGGAGATTGCTTGTAGAAGTAGTCCTACCATCGATTCTGAAGAGATGTTTTGCTTTAGTGTTCACAGTGTCTTTATATGGGTAGCTTAAAACACTGTCATACTGTAGGCATTTGGGTAGTTTAACTGCATTTAATTTCCATTAATGAATACTTTATACAGTAACAAGGCTACATAATTATGATGTCACTATAACTAGTAAGTAGAACAGCCTTTGTCTTCAAAGATTTCTGGCAGTACTCATTCCATGATCCAGAATACTTACAGCATGTTTCTCAGTCTGAGTCTTTCAAACTTAACATTCTTCATTCTCAGCTCATCATTGTGTAGAAACATGCCTTCTGGCAAAAGTGGGGCTTTGTTCAGTGTAATTTTCTTGTTCTTGGGACATGCAAGAAAGCAGTTCCACTATTTCAACAATGGAATCGAGTCCTTTTCTTTTGTCACAGCAGAGTGATTAATGCCAGACCAGATAAAACATGTCTAGCCAAGTGTCTCATCGCCAGCAGTGTTTGAAAGCCAGTACCTGAGAAAATAGCAAGACAGACATGTAGGAATCTTCTTCCTAGGTATTCATCTGACCACCAGCTCTGAGTCTGAGATGTACTGGGTTTTTTTCTAAACATGCTGCCTGATATATTAAGTAAGTGTTCTTTTGAGGATGGTGAATGTGATTTGGCTAACACCAGGTATGATTTTATAGATCTCTGTGTTACTGCCTTCTTCAGTTTTCTTTGTGCTCAGTTGAAGATGTGTTAAACTTCTTGGTTTGGTAGCCATTCCATGATTCTAGTTGCCTTTTTTACTCTGCCCTATTACCTTAAATTACTTTACTCCTATGCCCACATCTGTCAGGAGATACAGAAAATGTCTGAATTCTGTCAACTAAATTGAGCTTTTTGCATACACAAGTCAAAAGGAATTTCCCAGTGATTTCTGCATGAATATAATCTTCCCTTTTTGAGACAAACATCAACTTATTTACCAAGATATATTCAAAGTTGTAGCAGAAAAGAATACTTGCTTTCATTTTGATAAGAGACTTCTGAGTAGTTCTCTTTGGGACAATTTCCCTTTTTTTCTCTGAGAAAGTAATTTGTCCAGCAGCTATTTCCAGTTGTTATTCTGCTTTCTGGGAATAGTCATTTGAGTTAAATCTACTCCCAGTTTACTGAATTCTGCACTGAAGACTGGGTAGGTAAATGGGGAGCGCGCTGACTCCTCATTCCCTGTCCTGAGTGATTCCTATTCATAAGTAACTGTGTTTTGAAATTTCTCTGTTAAGTAAAAATAAAAAGTCTTCTAAGATTTCGAATACTCCTCAAAGTCTTGTGAGCAATTTGTACTGATTAAAAAATAAAAATTGAACAACAAAAAACTGCCCCGAGGTCTCAGCTGCTGTAACCACCATACATTCACAATCTTGCTTTCAAACCGCCTGGAGTTTATATGTGGTTTAGTTTCCGTTACCTTTCAGGCATTTAATTACTGCTTAAATATCTAGTGCTTAAAAAAAAAACTCAAAAGATGTTTTTATCTCGGGCAAGTTTAGTTTCCTGTCTGTAATTTTTTGTAGTTTAAGCATCCTTGGGACTATAGGAATTTCTTATTAACAAGAAATCATTTTCTTCATTTAAACAGTTAATTGTGGAACTGTTGGTCTGAAAACTGGAACTAGTACTTGTGCTAATACATAAACAATTTGGAGAAAGAAATCTGTAGGGTTAAAACACAGTCACTGTTTGTATGTGTGTGTGAGAGAGAGAGAATGAATGAGTTCCTGCCAGGCATGTACCCAATGCAGATCACTGTTCTGTGTCCGCAGGCATAGGAAGTATTCAGAAAACATCCAGTGTTCCAAGAAAGCAGTAAAGCTTAATAACTAGTCCTGTGCAAACCTTCAGTATTAAATCATGAGGAAGTGCACTTTATTAAAGCAAATATTTTAAGTGCTTGGAAGTAACAGTGGTTATGGCAAGGAGGCAGAGATTGCCATGGCTCTATTTAAAAACATTCACAGCTATTGAATGCATCAGGAAAACAATTCTCAAGCATATTTGATGAAAGACTGATAGATGTATTTATCCACATAATGCCTAAAATACAAAAGTTATCTTGTTCTTGTAAGAGAGTTCCTCGTTGCTGACCTTTGTATCAGTGATGTAGATTCAGCACAGATAGTTTAGGTGCCAGAGTCTAGTTAAACTATGTGTATGGTACTTGCAGTTGTCAAATTATGTGCAATTTTGGGATATTTGAATGTGTTCAACTCTGACAGCTGTGGTGGTTTTGTTCTCTTCCTGTGTTTGGCCAACTTTTCTGAAATGCAAATTTAGAACATTGCAAAGAAATGTAATTTAACCAACCGTTTTTTCTATGCAAGTTACTCTGTTCTCTGTTCTGGAAATTTTCCAGTTTTTTTACAGTACTCTTACTATATTTGTGTAAGCTACTCCTGAAAGTGATGCTTAAATAACTAAATTCTTGTTTTGAACAGCATCTTTTGTCCTCAAGAAAATACAGAAGAAGCCTTACTGTTGCTGCTTATTAGTGAATCTATGGTAGGTAAAAGGGAGTGAATGTGTGTGTACTCCATGTGTGTGTTTTCCTTGTTTGCTTGGGGTTTTTTTATAAATGAAGATAGAACTTTTTTTGTCATGTCTCACTTTGACTTGTGTTTTATTTTCTGTTAGGAAAGCAGGCAGTTACTCCTGAAACTCAAGCTTCTGTTCCTCTGAGCCAGCAGGATGAGGTCTACAAGTGTTACAAATAGATTTTCCCCTTTAGGGTGGCTGAACGTAGCCTCCTCCTAACCACAGGCAGGGGAACACAGTGTCAGGTCTTTCATTTGGCATCAGTATGAACCATTGTTACACCAGCTGGTTGCCAGTCAGACAGACTCAAAATGTAATTTATTTTTGTTGTAAAAACAAATCAAAAACTACTAGATGAGCATAATAAACATAGCCAAAATGTATTCTGCAATGTGCATTAAATGTCACTCAAATTTCTAAATAATTTTTAATGATATTGGCATTCAGCCTTTGCTGTTGGATTTGGGTTTTTGTCCTAATTTCTTCAATAGGTGATTCCTTTCAATGGCATACTTGTGCCTTTTATCAGCCTTTCACATTTTCCTCTACTATGATTTTACTAGTCTTCTGTCAACTGCCATGTACTGACATTCTCATACCAGGTCAGTTATATGTGCTCAAATGGCAGGAATGAAAAGCTGTAATTTTTGCTGTTTTTCTAATTGGAGCAGTGGAAGCTCTAGAACCTCAGGCATCATGTAGTAGTCTGTCTCACTACACAATGATACTTGGTCTTTTAAGTTCTATAGACAATTCAAACGCTTTTATGCTCTGGCATAATTTCTGTTTTGATACATTAAACAGGATTGGAATATTTTAGTGAACGTTATCCTGTTTGAACTATTTTAAAGTGGCCAACACTTACATTGTAGTGCAAACTACTTTCCTCATTCCTAGTGATCTGCCTTGCAATGTTCATGACAGGATCTGTCACCAGAAAACGAGACTGAGCAAACACTTCCACACTTGATGTTATGTACTGCAGTTATGAACTCACCACTGAAAGGGGTCCCCTGTCTCTATAAGGTGCCTGAGCAGCTCGTGGCAGTATACAGAGTTCTGATGTGAACTGTGCTCATGGTGTGAAGTGGAAGCAGTCCCAGTTCTGCAGGATCTGACTACCAATTACTGTATTTGCAGGTGTACTTCCTTGCATGTCACCATTAAGAAGCTAAAAAAACCCAAATTAAAGTACTGCCCTGTTAAATCTCCTTTTAGGTTACTTGCAGATTTTCCTGTGTGAATTAGATCAGCCTAATTATAGCAAATGCTTGTCACTGTAGGACATAAACCTTACCAACTTTTCAGTATTTTTTCTTTACAAGTAAATGTTGCAGGTTATCTCAGGCGGAAGAGTTTGTTTTGGGGAGTATAAAATATTTCATGATTGACTGACTTTGGCTGAGTCATTTGTTCAAAATAATTAGGGGGGGGGAGATGAAGCATAAAAATATTCATCGAAACAAACTTTATCTTTCTGAGAGTTGAGAGCTGTTACTTCAGCTTCAGTGCATCCTAACTTTCACTGTAGTAGCTATGAAGTATTATGTGATTTATGATTTTCAAACCAGTGTTTGTTAAAGAAATAAGAAGAGTTACAGAAGACTGACTAATCATTTGTGGATTGAGATGGTATTGTGTTACTAAAGTAGCATGATCCCTTCCTTGCATTGTCTGTGAATTAGTAAAAACAGAGATAACATGTCAAGACCAGTCCTTCAAGGATTTATTCAAGTAAATACTGGAAAACAGAATGAGGATCTGACATATAAACAGCATTTTGAGTAAGTAAAAGTGATCAAATCACTTCCCTGAAACTAGCAGTATGATTTAGGGCTTGTATATACACAGTGGTGCACTCTAGCATCACAACTTCTTCTTAATTGAATTAGATCTATTGCAGCATATATCCAGAAAATAGAATCATGCTGGTGGATTACAAATGCTACCTCTGTGTCACCTTGAGTTCCTTTAATTTCTGAATTCAGAAAGGATGCTTTAAGCAGGATTTAAATTGTAATATTTATGAAAGAAATGCTTTGGGAAAGATCATTCTGTGCTTTTCAAGTGTTCTAATTCTCTTATAGGTACATTTCAGAGTACAAAATATCTCCTTTAGCCACATGACTGCTGCTACAGTGTATTGTCATGCATGAGGAAAGTCAGCTGTAACCCTGCCATCACTCTTACTCTCCTTGTATTCTAGCCATTACGCTTGCGAAGTATAGACCAGCCTTTGCATATCTAGACAGGAATGAGGAGAAAGATGGGATCAGAAGGACTTAACATTTTCACTGTGTGCATGTTGCTGCATGTCAGCTGAGTTGCAGTAACAGAATCACAGAATGACTGAGGTTGGAAGGGGCCTCTGGAACTCATATTGTCAAACACCCTTGCCCAGGCAGGGCCACCTGGAGCAGGCTGCCTCTGTGTCCAGATGCCTTATGAATATCACCAGAGAGGGAGAGTCCACCACCCCCCTGGGCAGCCTGTGCCAGTGCTTAGTCACCTCACAGTAAAAGTGTTTCCTGATGTTCAGAGGGGGAACCTCCTGTGTTTCAGTTTGTGCCCACTACCTCTGGTCCTGTCACTGGGCATCACTGAAAAGAGCCTGGCTCCATCTCCCTTCAGGTATTTGTACACACTGATAAGGTTCCCCCCTTGAGCCTTTCCTTCTCCTGGCAGAACAGTCCTAGCTTTCTCAGCCTTTACTCATAGAAGAGATACTCCAGTCCCTTCTTCATTCCAGTGGTCATTTGTTGGACTGTCTCCAGTAGCTCTGTATCTCTCTTGTATTGGGGAGCCCAGAAATGGGGACCCAGTACTCAGGAGTGGCTTCACTACTGCTGAGTAGAGGGGAAAGATTGCCTTCCTCAACCTGCTGGCAACATTCCTACTCATGCAGGCCGCAATACTACTAGCTCTTCTTCGCTGCACATTGCTGGCTCCTGTTCAACTTGGTGTCCACCAGGACCCCCAGGTCCTTTTCTGCCAAGCTGCTTTCCAGGTGGGACGCCCCCAGCATGTGTTGGTGCATGCAGTTGTTCCTTCCCAAGTGCGCGACTTTGCACTTCCAAGTCTTTGTCGAAGCCTTTGATGAGGTTCCTGTAGCTCATTCCTCTGATTTGTTGAGGTCCTTCTAGACGGCAGCATAGCCCTTTGGCATATCATTTCCTCCTCCTAGTTCTGTTCCTCAAACTTGCTGAGGGTATACTCTGCCCTATCATCCAGGTCACTGATGAAGATTTGGAACAGGATCAGGCCTGGTATCAAGCTTTGCAGTAGTTACTGGCCTCCAACTAGAATTTGTCCCACTGATAACCTCCTACTGGGCTCAGGCTTAACATGTTATTCTTAGCTGAAGATAAAGTGTCTGAGCATATCCTTTCTTTCATTGTGGGGGAACTGAGTGTATAGTACTCACGTTTGCCTCAGCCCTCAAGTGTGTGTAGGGTAAGTGTGGCCAGCTGACGCATTGCTGCTTAAGTAATTGTCACTTTATTGTGTCTGAGACTGTGGCAGTTCTGAAACACTGAGCACTTAAGTTTGTACATACATTCTGGTTTACAGTTATGCAGAAAATGATTGTTGAAATATATATGATATCTTTAATACTTGCAAGGCATCCTCTCCTATAATACTGCTTTGGCACTGTTGCCATTTTTTCACAAGAAACGGTAGTTGATAGCTTGTTCTGTGCTTGCAAGGAATTGAGTCAAACAGTGATTAAATGTGGAGTTAAAAAGGAGGAAGTTCTTGAAGCTGACTAAATATTTATGCAGTGTGGAAAGGAACAGCCAAAGACTACTTGATCAAAAGAAAGCAAAATGTCTGTTTTGGGGTGCGTGTGCGGGCGTGTGTGTTTTCAAACCAAGCTGTGGATTATTCACTTGATAAGTCCCGAAATGTGTGTGCATTTTATGCTCCATCTATCTCTCTGAAATTTTCTTTCAGTATTTAATTATTCTGATTTTGAAGACATTGAGTGTGTTCAGAGCTTAAAACGTTATCCTGTTAAAGCAGAGAAACAATTTATGAGCTTTCAATGTGTATCATTCCTCTCCTCTGAAAAAGGGGGTAATAAGATGTCCATTAAAATTTAGTGTATTTCAGTAAATGTATTAAGGAAGCCAGGCCCTGTGTAATTAAAAAAAAAAAAAAAAAAAAAAGGAAAAAAGGGTGGAGGATGAAAGAAGAATCTTTAACTTCTGACTTCAAACTACCAGGTATACTGGCATTTGTACCAATGGGAATAATAAACATCAAGATATCTAGGTACAGATAAGATATGAAGATAAGGTATTTTCAGAGGCATGATGGTATTGTGGGAGGAGTAATGGGGATTTGAATATAGGCAGTCCTAGCTACTAGGAGACCTGAGTTTCATACTTTGCTCTTTAACAGGATTTCTCTGTGAACATGGTCAATTCATTTAATTGAATGAATTAAGGCGACCTCAGCCGCCTTCTCAAAAGGAAAAGTTTAATTAAGGAATTAGGTTTGCAAAGTGCCTTTCACAAAACAGGATTGAAAGTACAAAGCCTTACTACAAACATGGTCCGATTCCAAACCTGTTCTCTGAACCAGGGACAGTTTTTGCTTGTCACTAATGACTCCTGAGGGTGACTGTGTGGTTGTTCTGGGAAGGTTACCACTCACAAGTGAGAGCATGGTGCCATAATGTTATGAAGAGAAAAGCAATTGATTGCTGTATTTTACAAAAGATGGAGTAGAAGATTTCAAGATCCTTCTTAATATCTTTTACTTGTATACAAAAAATAAAATTACATTTTGAAAGATGAATGTAGAATATATTAAGAAAACCCTTATTTGGTTTCTGAGAACCAAATTCTAATTTTAAATGCATTACCTAATTCATGTCATTAGAATGAAGTAATTAAAAATAGATTCATGTGGAAACACAAGTCTTTTCACTACAGTATAACGTTGGTGATTCTTTTTATCTATAAATTAGTAGCAGATAGTATCACTCTATTACCTATATTAACTGCTGACTGTTGTTCTGAAGAGAACAGGAGTTACTTGAGCAAAAATATAGGTTGGATTACAATATATGAGTTTGGGGTTTTTTTCATGCTGTGTTTCAGGCTAACCGTGATGCTGTACTGAGCAGAATACCAGAACACAAAAATGATCGTATCATCAGTTTGCAAAGTGCATCCGTAGTCTACGATTTACTTACCATAGCCTTGGGAAGAAGAGGCCAATATGAAATGCTCTCAGAGGTTTGTCGATAATAGTGAATATTCAACTGTGTCTTTGTTGCTTATTTCTGTTAGTCACGTTAATTGTGGTAGAACTTACAGGCTAAACAAACACAGGACATTGTAATTCTGACGACTGTATAAATACAGTAGGTATTTGCCACCTCAAAAAGTATATGGTCTAAATTTGTACCATTGAGAAAGGTGTGACAAATGTTGAGGGGCAGAGCAATTCATGTTTTTAGATGGGGGGAGGCATGGATCTGCTTAAAAGGATACACGTTAAATGGAGATGACAGGAAGGAACGACAAAGGATAAAAGCTGTTGGGGATAGAAGTGTTAGATGTAAACACCTAGAAAAAGGATTTGTGATGTTTTATTTCAAAAGAAAACTTTCCTTTACACCTCATAATATTTGGAGTGCTCCAAATTCCTCCTAGTTTGTAAAAATAGCTTTGAAGTTAATAAAATGGAAATGTAGTACTTTTTCAGATCTGTAGGAAAGTGTATTCTCTGTCTCAAATGTCTTCTGTTTGATTATGCAACTTCCATGTATTTCGTTACATTGTGGCAACTTACTTCTTTAGGAAATTTTCAAGCATTGTTAACAGTTTTATATCTGAGAAACAACTACAGGTCTTTGGGCAGAGCAGATCTTTCTTCTATTCAAAACAGGGCTGACCCAGCAGCAGGATACTGAAGTCTATATACCTGAAGTCTAACTAAGACTCATTTTAAGGTCTATTGTTGTTCCTTTTTAATCTGGGTCTTTAATCTTTGTAGTTATGTTCCATCAAAATTGTGTGTATATTCTTTTGAAATTGACACATTCTCTCTGAAAAATAGAAAATAATTCTGTTTGAAAAATAATTTTCAATACAGAATTATTAAAATGTGTTTATTATATGTTCATGAAGTAACTGTTCTGAACATTAAAAAAATCATCTTATGATTTAATAGACAATAGTTACTTTAGCATGCAGCTACTCTAGATATAGAGCTGCAGCCAGAGCTTATCAGGAAATGGTTAGAACATCTCATATTCCAGTTCTTGTCATTCAAAGCACAGTGGAAAATACAGACTTCATGAAATTCTTGCAGTTTAGTGGGTGGCTAGAGGATATCTGCCCTCAAATCCTGTCTGAACAGGATAGTCTGAAACCTTTATAACTTAGTGTACTTATATATTTTATATGTATATATGTAATAATACTCATATACTTAGTATACTAAGTATTACAATAAACACAAATTCAGAAATGTAAAAACACTGTGTTCAGTTATGTAAGAGGCGTGTAATTTTTTGCCAGCTTCATTCTCTGTGGGCTAATTATGATTGCTCTAGTGGATCTGTTGTAGCTTCAGGTCAGAAAGCACCATTACTCTAAATGTGGCAATGGTATTCACCCACCAATTTCAGTATGTTGTCAGCATTGTCTGGGTTAGCTCTGGCTGACTACGTACAGAATTAGTTAGCCATGACATAAGAACATTAAATGACCAAAAATTTGTTTCATCCTTTTTAAACTGTTTTAATGCTCAGTCATATTCTTAATTGAAAAGATCTCATTTCTTTATAGAGTTTGTATACCATGGGCTTTCAGTTACTTACAGCTTTTTCAACTAGATCAAAAAGCTTTCTACTGTCATAATTCTCTCCTACACTTAAAGAACTCTGGCTGTCATCAAGTTGGTTTATATGCTTCATAGGATATGACATATTGACCTTATCAATGTTCTACTAAGAGTGATGTTTTCCAGACCAGAAATTTTCCTAGATACCCACCTTCAGCTCTCTCACTTCAAGCATATTCTTTTCAGGAGGAGACCATAGTGCTAAACATGGGAATTCAGTAATGCGTTCAACAGTACGTGTCCATATAGTCATTTGTGATTATTTGCAAGGCAATATCAATAGCTGCATTTCTGCCTTTCGGAACGTGGTTGTGCTGAATGTGTTTCCAGTTAGTTAATTCAGTTGCTGTTATCCTGAACATTGTCTTAACTTACCTTATCAGTTTTCCAGGGTACTATTCCTTACTCTGTATTTCTCATTGATTTCTTGGTGGGTGGAGCCTGTGGCTCTTTGAAATTGCTTGTTCTTCGTTCAGAAGAACCCAGTTTATGAGATGTTCATGTTGTTGTGTAGATCGCATACATATATGTGCACATATACCCTTTACCCTCAGACTTGCTAACCATCGATTTTGTGATCTTACTAAGGAAAAAAGTCATATAACATCACATTTCATAGTGAATGAATAGAACTTGAAGACAGTGAAAACGAATGGGGAATACCTCATTAGTATGTTGAAACTCAAGCCTTTTAGAGTAATCCACAATTGTGTCCTGTGTCCCTGTAACTGCAAAATTATAAAAAGCAAAAGTATCAACTTCTCCAACTTCTTTATTTTCTGCCAGTTAGAACTGGCAATTAATTTTTAATTAAGCAAAGCCTAGAAAACATGATCTTTATTTTTCTAATTGTGAATGAATACCTCCGTAGAATTAATGCACATGCATACTTCTACGAATATGTAAAAGTAGTAGAAGAAGGTATGATTAGGCAGCCTTAAAAGTTATAAACATATTTTGACTTTAAATATTAAGTTTCCATGCACCACTTGTTTGTGTGAGTCTCTGGGATTATACAGCTGCTGTAGGTCAGAGTTCTGGAAGAAGTGCTGAAGTTATTTAAATCATACATAAAACACTGATACCAAAACAGGTAGAGTGAGTTGTATTTGAAAGATAAGCCTGAATTCATTCCCCTTCATGTAGAGGCACTCAAGTTAGCACCATAGTTGTACTAATCAGTGGAGAGAGAGGAGAGGGATGTAGCGACTTTTGTTTTCTGCCAAGTTCATGGTGGCAGGTGGTGGAGTGTGCCTTACCTAGGCATCTCTGCAAAGTATGCAGAGTAATAGGAGAACATATCACACATGATTTGTTTGTTTCTTGCTGTCATCACTTCCACTGATGGAAAGAAATTCCAGTAGAAAATAAATTCTTTGTTGGTTTTCTTAACAGACAGACAATTAATTTACTACACATACAATCTGATGATGAACTTTTTTAACAACAGTATTAGAAAATGTTTGTTTTTAAAAACTTCATTCCTCTATAATAATTTAATAAAAATTCTATTTGGCAATAGTCTTGATACTGGACATTATGTAGTAGGAAAATTTCTAGCATATGTTCCTTATGTAGCAAATAATGCACTTCTGGTTATGTGTTTTGTTTCATCCTCAGTTCTGTTTCTTTGCTTCAGGTTCTGTTAAAATATGGGGACATGCTACACACCTGATTGTGCTTTCTGTAATGTTAAGGCTGAGTTTGAATGTGAAAAATAATTAATGTTATTACAGTTTAGCATATACATTATAGCTATCAGAGCAGAAAAGCTGCTCCATGTATGTGGACTCTGCAGACTAGAAAGTTTATTACTAAATCAGTTTAATCCAGAAAAGTATTGTACCTTTTGACTTTAATATATTTATTCTCAATGTCGCAAATAATTAACTTCCTTTTGGCATTCAGTTATTAAGTTGACAATCTCAGCAGAATATTGAGTGTGAAGTAAAAATTATTAAAAACAGAAATAATTTTTCAATTGTCAGGTGAGCATTTTTGCCCCCTTTTAACGGGTACTGGTGGGTGCTTGTGGTGCCATTGCTTGTTACATGTTCACAATTTAGGAAGACTGTGCATACAATTTTTCCTTTTCACTTCAGACATCTTCTGCCTTTTGTTGCTGACACCTTCAATAAGCTGATATTTATCATTCTTTCTTTTGGACTCAATAGGACGGTACAAGCAGAATTATTTAAAAAAAACCAACAAACATAAGAAATGAGAAGCCAGTTTTCTGTTCAATTTTTTTTTTTCCCCATATAGAATCTGGCAGCTGTTTTCACTCAACTTATTTGAATTATTTAAAGTTTTAACTACATGTATTTTAGGTATGAGTTTGTAAGAAATTTTTATACTAATGTGTCTTATTAATAATTTAAGGATGTACCCTTAAATGACAATTTTTCCCTGAAATTAGTGTTTAGAAAGAGCCATGAAGTTTGCGTTTGAAGAGTTCCATCTCTGGTATCAATTTGCGTTGTCCTTGATGGCAGCAGGAAAAGTAAGTCTTTTTTTTGGATGCAATTCTTGTATTGATGGCTTTTGATAATAACTTCTGGCACTTCCGTAGTTTTAATCTGTAGTGTTTTTGAAAATAATTCTAATCCTTAAATCAGCTAAATATACTTTACTCCTGAATTTATGCCTAGTCCTGTATGAAGCATGTTGTTATTTCAATGGTTTCTAGTTTAGGAAGACTGAAAGGTGATGACAAGAACTGTGTTGCCAACAAGCTTAACCTAATTGAATATAAGTAGTAAATTATACCAGATCATCATAGCAGTAACAACCTTGTTTAAGTGCTGCTTTGATGAGTGAATTTTATGCTTAGGTATAAATTAATGCTGATTCATGATGCTCCTGGCTTGATGTTTTTTTTTCTTTGGGAATTTCTGACTGTGTTGGTTTTTTTTTTTTTAATATTGTCTATGAGACTCTATTCTGTGCAATTAAAGTGAGTTGGATTTTTTTTTTTAATGTTCTATAACCTATGAACTTATGAGATACAATCTTTTAATTTTATATCTCATTATGTAATGTAAATAATACTGATTTTCTAAAAGATCGTTCTAATCAGGTAATTTGCTTATCTTCAGTATGTGGGAAAGGAATTATTTCCATTTTCTTTAGAAAATATTTTTAGAAGCACATTGGTTCTGAATGGGTTTGATTCTTCTTCCCATTCTCTGCTTTTTTAGTTATCTTCTGAACTGTGATTGGATGGAGGCAAATGAATTAAAAAAAAAAAAAAAAAAGGAGTAGTGCTACTCTGTTATACGGTCTTGTAACAGAGCTATTCCCAAGTGCTGTTTTAACTCCCGAAGAGCACTAAACCACTGCTTGTCCTGAAGACTCTGTCCTATTCCTGTTCTTTCATTTGCCCGGCTCAAATGTTGTGGGTTTACAGACCTAGCAATGTTTAAACTGCATGTCAACTGTTTTCTGAATCATGTACCATTGGAATTACATTCTGGGCAAATGTTCACTGGAGACACTTAATGATAGTTCTTAGGGGTTAAGTAATGACAGCCGTGCCTAAAATCTTGTGTTTCACTTGCATGAGGAGTTGTGACAAATTGTCAAGAAAATGTTCAGTGATGTCTCCTTCACATGGGAAAAATCAAGTAAATCATGGAAATAGGGATTTTCTATGTGTGTAATATATTGATGCTTTTAGTAATTTCAGTGCATAATGTTTTTACAGTCTGCTCGAGCTGTTAAAGTCTTGAAGGAATGTATACGTTTGAAACCAGATGATGCAACTATTCCACTCCTTGCTGCAAAGCTCTGTATGGGATCTCTCCACTGGGTAAGCTTTGCCTCTCATTCTGTTTTCAGCAAGAGCTGTGCTAAAATGCAACGAAATCTTGGTTTAGTGAGGTAGCACAGTGGCCAGGTGTGCTTGGTCATCTCTGAAAATACAGCACAGATACACATGTGCATCCTTGTTTTCATGGCTAATTTAAAATATTGACAGCAATGGGTATGTTTATCAAGGTAGCATATCCTGATACTGACCTAAGACACAGCTAAAAATGTATTAGAAATTGAAACGTTGGCATACAGAGATGAAAAGTGCAACTTAGACTTCTGTTTCCTCTGTGCAAGAGGAAAATAACTTATTTTTTAAGATAATGAGACAAACAACTTATATTCAAGAGACTTTTCAGGTGATACCATGTTTGCAGACACCTGGGGTTTATGAATTCCTAGTAGAGACAGCATCTTTTAAAAAAATGTTACTGGAGTTGTATTTTAGATAACCTTGAAATTGGTGTATCTGTACAAAAAACATTAAGGTGATCAAAGAACATCGTGTGGTTTTTGAGATACATATGCAATTTTTAGAAGAATGTGTAAAAAGAGAGGAAAAGAGGAAGGAAATGTCACAATCAGAAATTGAAAAGTTAGTGCAGTGGCAGCAACACGACTGGCTGAGTCTGACAAAAGTACAGTCTTAAGCATTAACGTAGATCCTAGTTCTGTAAAATGTTCCCTATGGATTGACTCCATTTGGAGTAGCTTATTATACTTAGTATTTGCCTTTACTGGAATGGATTCAAATGTTGTTGGTTCTCTTTCTAGACTGCTAAATAGTGTGCTAGCATGGGTGTGCAGTTAAACCCTGATCTTGTACGTGTTACTCTGTTCAGGAGTTGACATACATTCAGCGATACTCTATGTGTTGCGTGGCTGTGCTTTTTTTTGGTAGCATTGAAGCCATGGTTCTCATCATTGATTTTCCTAAAGAAATGGTTTTTGGAGCAAGAACTCTGTAAAATGCAGAAATAGTGGATGGCATATATGGACCAGAAATTTCTTTGTTAAAATAAAAATAAATAGAAAAAAAATTAAAAAGAAAGGAAAAAAAAAAAGAAAAAAGAAAAATAGCAAAAACACAGTAAGTTTAGAATGGTCTGAGTGTTATCTGCCAAAGTTTGTCTCAGCCATAGGATTGAGTGCTTCAGCTTAAATCTGTGTGCTTTACTCAGTATATAGCAGAAAAAATAAGTCTAATGAAAAACAAAATGGTTCTTATCATGGCTGAGATTTCAGCAGACTCAGCGTGCGTAATACACGTGCTGTGTGTTATTCTCATTATAGTGTAATCTTTACTTAGTTTTATACTTACATGGATGTGTTGTAATATTTTTTAGTTGGAAGAAGCTGAAAGATTTGCCAAAACAGTTGTTGATCTTGGGGACAAAACGTCAGAGTTCAAAGCAAAAGGCTACTTGGCACTGGGATTGACTTACAGTCTGCAGGCTACTGATGGTAAGATAAGGATAAACATTCACATTTGGAAATTCTCATCTTACCTAAAAAAGGCTACCTAGCAGAATGCTAGACTTAAAATTAAAGCTTCTGTGTGCAACCGTATTTTTCGGTCAGTGTACTAAAATTTCTTCCATGAGCATGGGGAATGAAATCTTTCAATCTTGCATATCACTGATTAAATATATCCTTTTCAGCATCTTTGAGAGGGATGCAGGAGGTCTTGCAGAGAAAGGCTCTTCTTTCATTTCAGAGGTGAGTGGGCGTTAGTATTTTCATTTCATTCTGCTGTAAGCTTTATTATGTGTTAAAAAGAGGGACTTGTAAAAGATTGTGTAATGAGGATTTTGCCTCTGGGAGCCTCCCATCAGAATGTATTTCCTTAGCGTTTACTTCATCATTTTCTGTCAGAAATATCTAAAACTGATTTCTAAGGATTTCCTTTTATTTCATTTTAAAGACATTTATGTGGCTCTCTAGTATAAAGTATTTGCTTAGAGGAGTATTCTGTTCTGATCTAGAAGGGAAAATGGTACAATGCAATGTTTCAAGTCATGGTTCAGTGTGGTAGTGTTTCCAGAAAGGTTGGTCGCTGAACAGAATATATAGCAGGCTTTCGCATTATCTCTGTAGAAGCAGATGGATAACTGAGGACATGATGCTGTGGATGAGGGGTGAAATGCAGGTAGTAAGGTAGTAAGCTAGGGGGAATAAGAAAAAAAAATTACCTGGAAATTTAAGAGCGTAGGCAGTGACAATGCAAATGCCCCGTCTTCCAGGTCCCTTACAGAGAAGCAGCGCTGTTGGGGATGACAGTGGTTCATTCTCGGGGGTTTGAATCTGCAAATGAAATTACAATAAACAGATGGATGGAACATCTCTACCCTAATTACAGAAGAAACAGATCTTGGTAGCAAAGCTGGCAGAAGTGCTGCAACACTAAATAATTTGCCTTTTGTGTGTGTATACCCTTGAAAACCCTACTTCGATGAGATAGGCATAAATGCTTCAGGGAAACTGATTTGTGCGTTAATGTGAACGTGAAATCTTGGATTTTTGTTGGTGATTTTTGTATCTGACGGGATAGGGTTAAAAAAGTGTTTTGCAGGTAACTTCAGAGTGAATCTGGTATGTATTGGTCCTTTATTGTCTTGTCTTAATTATTCCTCTTTATGTAAATATGTTTTAACATGTCTTTGCTCTTCCTGTTGCTTAATGGTTTTAATAGTTTTTATTACTTCAGCATTGTTTTTCCATGTGGAAACTGAACTTTTTAACCTCCTGGTTTATACCTCTGTTCCTCACCCATCCCTCTTCACACTGACTTAATCATTAATCTATGCTAACCGTTTCTTGCCGTTTCTACCCGTTCAATGCTTCTCAGATTCTCATAGTGATTTGCTTTCTTTTGCTGATTCTTTGAAACACCAAGGGACAAAATGAACCATAGCCTGAAGCTAGCCCACTCCAGTTTAGTGTAGTGATTCCCAAAGTTCTGAAAGTTGTTCCCTGCTATTGATCTATCTGGAAAATTTTCTTTTTTTGAGGTTTGAGGTTGTGCAGCATTTCAACCACATGTAAATATGAGGATGCTTTTATAGGTAACATACTGCTTATTGTGGTAATATTTTATTAGGTTTCTTTAGGAAAAGAATAAGTGGTTTGAGATAAAAGAGAATAAGCAATATAAAGTAGGTCTGAGAATAAGCAATATACAGTAGGTTAGGAGAACTATTTTTCATAGAAACATAGAATCTTTTAGGTTGGAAAAGACCATTAAGATCATAAAGTCCTACCGTTAACCCAACACTGTGAAGTCCACCACTTGAACCATGTCCCTAAGTGCCTCATCCGCACATCACCCTTTCAGTGAAGAAAGCCTGCTGCAGGGTGGGTCACCCACAGGGTCACAAGTCCTGCCAGCAAACCTGCTCCAGCCTGGGCTCCTCTCTCCATGGGGCCATGGGTTCTGCCAGGAGCCTGCTCCAGCACAGGCTGCCCATGGGGTCACAGCCTTCTTCGGGAGGTATCCCCCTGCTCCGGTGTGGAGACCTCCCTGGGCTGCAGGTGGGTCTCTGCTCTCCTGTGACCCTCCATGGCTGCAGGGCACAGCCTCACCACGGGCTGCCGGGGAATCTCTGGAGCACCTCCTCCCCCTCCTTCTCCACTGATCTTGGTGTCTGCAGAGTTTTTCCTCTCTCTCCTCCATCCACTGCTGTTTCTGCAGCAGTTTTTTCCCCCTTCTTAAACATGTTATCCCAGAGGCACTACCGCCATTGCTGATGGGCTCAGCCTTGGCCAGCAGTGGGTCCGTCTTGGAGCTGCTGGCATTGGCTCTATTGAACACAGGGGAAGCTTCCAGCATCTTCTCACAGAAGCCACCCCTGTAGCTCCCCTCACTACCAAAACCTTGCCATTCAAACCCAATACAGATGTTACCAAATATTCGGTACCACAGAGCATATGTTATGCTCAACATAGCAAAGTCATGCCTACTTTCTCTTCCCCCATCTTAAAAATAATGTTTTCCAGGAGGTGGAAGTTGAAATTCTCCATCCCTTACACAGTTTATAGAACAGGAGCTGTGCTGGGCTCAGTATTTTGATCTGCCAGGGTTTTTTTGTGTGTGGTTGGGTTTTGGGTTTTTTTTTAAAATCACATACCTAGAGGACCAATTCCTGAAGAAACAGAGGTCCTGAAGAAACACAGTTGTGTTTTGGACCCTTGCACAGGCCATATTTCAAGGCTACCAGTTTGTGATGGTGGCCATTTGAGAAGGTGCTTGTTGCCAACATCACACAATGCTGAGAGGGTGTTTGTTTCACTAACATTTTTTTTTTTTTTTTGGAAGACTTTCACTGATCTCACCAAATGGTTGATAGATAGTGACAGCTTTATTCTTTCACTTGCTGACGCATGGGTGACGGAACAAGTACTCTCTGAGTTAAAATCTCTAGTTCTCACTTGGTCTTGCTTAATTTGTGAACTTAAATTTACAAATGGACTGGTCCTAGACCCTGTTAGGCTTTATATTTGACTCTAATCTCCAAGTGAAATGTAAATTTAACGAAATGTGAAACTGTGCCCTAATAACTTTAACTACTTTGATACATGTTGGGTGCAGTTGCTGAGCTAATGAAGCTGTCTCTTTGAAATTGGGAAGACAGAAATGCACAAGTTGGAAGCAGAAGGTTCCCTTTGTGGTTGTAATGCCTTAAAGTTCAATTTTGTTCCTCCCTCTCGATGGAGACAACCCATTAGATGTTCTGAAGATGATTATTACACATCCTGTTTCTAAATGAGACTCCATTGGAAGAATGCAAGAAATGTAATTTAAAAAGTATTTCCAGGCTTACTGCCCGGTATTTACTACACGGAGTTGGTGTGACTGCTTGGGTACTTCTCATGCAGTTGTTCTGGTAGAATTCTTTTTTTTTTTTTTCCTTTTTCTGTAACAAAACTCTGCTTAATGTATTTTTATTATAACTGTTCTTAGATAATTACATCGAGTGTTTATTTAGGAGTATATTTTAATTGACAAATCATTTTGTATTGCTCGTTTTTAAGATTTATACTGAAATTACATAATTAATTTCTATTAAAAATGACTCTTTAATCACTTCTTCCTTTAAATCAAGGATGATTGAGAAGTATGAGAAAAGTCACTGGACTGGACACCGCTTACATCACAATATAAGCATATGTGTAGTGGAGAGATCTGAATATGGATACCTGCGTTTGTGTATGTCTAACCTGTATTAACATGGGAAAAAAAAAATCACTGTTGTTTTGTTTTGTTTCTTTGTTTTTAAGGGCTCACACATTGTCTCCAACGGATCATCTGGCAGCATTTTACTTAGCACTCCAGCTTGCCATATCCAGACAGGTTAGTTGTGTTTAAAAGTGCAACCTTACACTGTCATATGAAGATTAGTATTTGTATCTATTGATGGACACAGATTAAGGTTTCTTCAATAAAATCCTGGTTCCTTATGTATGTATGTGGGGGGAAAAAAGGTCAAATCTTATCTCTGAACACCTTCAGTCTTGTATACTTCTCCAGAGGTCTGCCACAGTATTTCCAGCTCTAGGATTACAAATAAGACATAAGTCATTCAATTTATTTGTTTCAGCATTTATGTTGCTGGATGGAAAGAGAAAAAAAAAGTCAGTTTTTACCTCTTGCATGTAATGTCAGCTCAGACTGGTTGTCTGGAGAGTGGGAGTCTTGAATCTAGTCTTTAGTGATCTTGACAGTGCTTAAATCTTGAATATCTGCTAAGATCTGTGCCTTTTCTGAATATTTTGTTATTGTGAACAGAATTACAAAAATGTGTTTAAAAAAAATGGAAAATACTTTAAAGCTATAAAAGAGATCAGAGCTCAGTGTAACTTGCAGAGCTGTTACGGTTAAGGGATTGAGAATTCTACCATACATCACGTGAATTTGTATAACGTGGAGCCGCTTTGTATATGTCATGGTAAGCCTTTTCCTGTGTCATGTTTATTTTAGGAAGTAGTTTTGAGCACAGTAGTTTACATACTCTAGGTGACTTCATACTAATGAGTAGCAGAGACATTGGACTATGTCACATTAGAGTGGAATGGATTGTCACTGTAGTAGCACAAAGTATTTTTCATTAGCAGGCAAAGACTGTGTACTTCTGATTTCCATACTTCTCGTGATGCTTCATTAAATTTCCTGGTTTAACACTTAGTGTACTTATTTTGAGCAAAAGCACATGCAGCTGAGGAGATCATGAAATTCCATGTGAAGAAAAGTTAGTGTGGTGGTCTAGCTGTACATTTTAGTTAATGTATTACAATTATAATATTTTTAAAATCCTCTAGGAATATAGCCTATACTTGAAGAAAAAATAGTAAGTGAGTATTTTAAAGGGATAAAGGGAGCTGTCTATTTAAAACTTGTATCTTATTTTCCAAGGTTCATATAGTATTTGAGTTTTACTGTTCACTGTAGAGCATCAGGCCCACTTCAAACCTCTGAGTAGTGTCTGGCAGGAATCCATAGAATGCTGCATGGTATCCAGGTGAATATTTTGGAAAATTTTATGGATGTGCAATCATGTAATAGGCAATACTTTTAATAGTGGTGCCTTCTTTTTCTGCCTTTGTTTTCTTTTTTTTAATCAGATACCAGAAGCTTTGGGTTATGTTCGTCAGGCTCTACAACTACAAGGAGATGATGCCAACTCTCTTCATCTCCTTGCACTCTTGCTATCAGCACAGAAACACTATCATGATGCTTTGAATATCATTGATATGGCCTTGAGTGAATATCCAGAAAATTTTATGTGAGTGAATGTCATGTTTGCTTTCTACGCTTTCTCTCATATTTATTTTTCTTCTCATCTCATGCATTTCAAAACGGGATGGAATTGAAGATTGGTCTGTTTGGGGTGTTTTCCACCAGTGTTCCCCCCTGCCCATTTAATACAAGTCTTCTTTTTAATAAAAGCTTGTTAAATAGTGATTAAGGATTTTGTTTTGGAAGGGAGGCTAGAGCTGGGCAGTTGATCTTATTTTGTTGTGGGTTTTTTGGTTTTTTTGGTTGTTTTTTTTTTCCTACTGAACTTTTGTTTAGGTAATTTCTTCCTGTTGCATGATTTAGAGTACTTTTCTGTCTTCTGTTTTTATGCCATATTCTAAGAAGGATAAGCAGGACTTTACTATTAGCTAGGGTAGATTTACCCCATCCTATTAATTCTGTGTATACTGTACGGAATCTGTTCTGTAAAATACATCGTAACAGAGAATTTCCTCTTTTGCCTCTATAATAAGCAGTCATCTGAAGTTGGCTGAGGGATAACTAAACAAGTGGTCAGGGAAGAAGTGTGTTTGGTAGATGTTCTCGTGTTCTTTAAGATAGAAAACATTCTTTGTGTTTATTCTTCAAGTACATTTGGATTTTTTACTTTTTTTAGGTTTTTGTAAAATTTATTTTCTTCTGAAAATCCTAATGAAATGCTTTACAGCAAAATATCTCAGGGACAGCTTCCATTAACTTCCAGTGTTCTGTTCCAGTGTTTCACTACAAGTCGCTGAGGTTGTAATCCATAGTTTTACAAATATCCCAAATGTTTATTTAGACAGTTTTTGGAGGTATCTTGTTCTTAACTTTGAAATGACTGGCCTGTATCATAAATTGTTGCTATATCAACATACTAGAAAATTATGCTTTCTTTAAGAACTACTAGTTTAAAAATAGAGATTATAGTGTTTTTCCTTCCTGTTCTTTGACACTTCATGCCTCCTTTCGGCTATTGCCTTTTTCGTCATAAATCTGACCAGAACCTCTGTTGATACCGCCTCTCCTCAGAACTTCTGTGGCTCGCAGCCACTTCTGTGCAACTCCTTTTGTGGCCTTTTGCAATTTCTGACTTCCTAGTTTATCTGCACACACCTAACATGTTTCTGTTCTTGTCAGGGGCTTCCACACATGCTTCATGATTTCAGAACTATCTAGCAGTTTCTCTCCCAAACCTGCCTGTGCTTTTCTCAGGTCTGAGGGACCTGTCAGTAGGTCATGGTTTGAGAGGGAATTGAAGTGTAAACTAACTAATTTTATACCATATCATTGCTAAAAGCAAGTATGTTCAACTCCCCATGATCTGTTGTCATCTCTCTGTTCCTGATTCTTCTTATGCCACTAGGAGAGAATGTAAATGACAAAGAAGCTCCTGCTATATCTCTCAGAATAATAATAGCCTAGAAGTATTACTGAAACTGCAGTTCTCCCTATTGTAATAAGAGAACAAAGGATCATTCAGTAAAATGTTTAAAATTACTCTTGAGAGCATTCATAAGGTATTTATGGGATTTTCAAACATGATTCATGTCCTTTCCATGCTTTGTTTATAATTGCATCTTAAAAAATCCTGATCTTTCTATTAATGTATGTAAGCATATTAATCATATGGGTCATAATGGTGCTTCTAAATTGCTAGTCCTGTTGTATAATACAAACACTGTGGTGATGCAGTGTACTATGTTACAACCTACTGGTAAAGAGCAAGGAATTTGAAAGCATTATCTTGGCAGTAGAAATCACCATTAGATGTGGCAACAATTGCTGAAGAATCCAAGGTGAAATACAGCTATACGTGTACCGAGACAGTCTTTTGGAGTCTTGGTTTTAGTGCTGTCAGGTTACTTCTTGTTCTTGGAGAAGTCAAGGATGATTGAGATCCCCTGTGTGCTCTCTGCAATTGATACTGACAGCCAGACAGACACATCTGGTCAATAATATAAATTTGGATTGATTCCATCATATAACTGGGTTATTTTTGCAAGGAGTTATCAGCAAAACCTCAAGTTTACAATCTGTTCTTGCGCACTATATCTGGTGCTCTTGAAATTATTGACAGTGGGTATGTGCATATGTAGAAAATATAAGACACAAATGCTTAGTGTATTGTTGATTGTATTTTCTTATTCTGTAAACAGTACAATTTTGCGGTGCTTCCTAGTAGATGGGGAAGAGATCCTCTTGTGTTCCTCTAAGGCTTGCTAGTTTTTAGATGTACTAAAACATTTGATTATTCACCTATGGTACTTTATTGGCTTTTGTAAACACTTCAAATATCATCATGCTTTATGTTTTGTTCTTTGGTTATGTCTGCAATCCCAGTCAGCTCAGTAGTACAAGGCTTTTCTTGGTATTCTCTCTATTTTTGTTAGAATTAATCCATTACCTCAGCCTTATGCAAAATGATGCTTTGGTAGCTTTGTAGCATAATAAATCTCTGTACTGGAATATATTAAAGTAAAACACAGGGCTTGGTTTTTTATGTTATTTCTTATTTCTTTTGTTGTTATACCTCTGTGTGCTATAATTGCACTGAGTGTTGTCCTGCCCTGTTTACAGCTGTATGTGCTTCTTGGTTTGCTTTTACTTGAAAATAATCTAAATTTTCAGAAGTTTGTAATACCACATCTTTGTAAAATGCCAGAGGTTGCAAGGAAGTCAGAATACACCGTGAGTCATGCTGAGAAGTAGATACTTTCCAGCACGCTCCTGTTGTAGTCAGTTAGTAAAAATGTTGCCTGTCTTTTACTTCTGAAAATCTGATGCATTCCTAGAATTCATGTTCAATATTTGAGGCATATAGCAAGCATACCTTTGTATCTTAAATTAGCATCAACTTTCCTGCACTGTAAAGTAGAAAGTTGCTGAACAAACTTGGCAAATCAGTTGATAATTCTGCCTTGTGCACCTCTAGGTTGGTAAGTAGAAAGTAATTCCTCAGAGCCAAAGACTTCTGTCCCATCCTTGTCGAAAGGAGTGGAAGGAAAAAAGCAAATACAGTGGAAGGAATAAGCAAACATCATATTGTGCTGTTAGCAGCAAGTATAGCCTTTTCTTCTAATAGAATGGATTGCTCTTCCTTTGTTTGGTATATGGACAGAATAAATATGCAATCTGCTTTGCGACCTTAAGGGTCTCACTATTTGTGAAAATCTGAGAATACTCTGGAAGTGAAATATAGTAATGTTTTCCAGAAAGAATCAAAATGCAAGATATTTTGTCAGTCTCACCTCTGTGCCTGGCAAGGTCATGGAGCAGATCCTCCTAGAAGCCATGCTGAGGCACATGGAGAATGCGGAGGTGAGTGGTGACAGCCAGCATGGCTTCACCAAGGGCAGATCGTGCCTGACGAACATGGCGGCCTTCTACGATGGGGTCACGACCCTGGTGGATAGAGGACGGGCAACTGATGTCATCTACTTGGACTTGTGCAAAGCCTTCGACACTGTCCCGCACGACATCCTTGTCTCGAAACTGGAGAGACATGGATTTGACAGACGGACCGCTCGGTGGATAAAGAACTGGCTGGATGGCCGCACTCAGAGAGTGGTGGTCAACGGCTCGATGTCCGAGTGGAGATCGGTGACGAGTGGCGTTCCTCAGGGGTCGGTGTTGGGGCCTGTGCTGTTTAACATCTTTGTTGGTGACATGGATGACGGCATTGAGTGCACCCTCAGCAAGTTTGCCGACGACACCAAGCTGTGTGGCGCGGTCGACACGCTGGAGGGAAGGGATGCCATCCAGAGGGACCTGGACAGGCTGCAGAGGTGGGCCACTGCCCATGGCAGGGGGGTTGGAACTAGATGATCTTTAAGGTCCCTTCCAACCCTGACCGTTCTATGATTCTATGATTCTATATTTGCTGATCATCTATAGCACTACCATTTCAAACTTTTTCTAAGCTTAAAATGCTAGGTTGTAACCACTGTGCTTACAGACAAGTTACATGTGTTTTTCAGAGCAATATAATCAATCTCCTTCTAAATGCTAGCTAACTTCTGAAGCCTCCTGAAATCTGAGTGTTCCAGAGACAAAAAGATCTCCAGACAAAATATTACTGAACACGTTAAGATTACTAAAAAGATTATGAACACCCTGCTGTGGTGAGATTGGTGGGAATAAGGTGACAGCACCAAAAAATCTGAATAGTTAATCTGTCAGGTACTACTGCATTTGATTCATCTGAAGGTACACTGTGTTTTCGCCCCCTTTCATTAGACAACTTGTCCCTGTAGTAGAAAAGTGAAGTTCAGGTCTGCTCCATCTTGGCAAGATCTGAACCCACAGATGATGCAGCTCAGAGACCTAACCCTCAAACTGTGGGGGAGACTGGGTGAGATGATCCATCTTTCTCTTGAAACAGAAGCACACAGGGACATGCTGCCCTAAATGCAAAGAGAGTAGGCAGGAAGGAACTACAATATACCCTAAATTACTAGAGTACTTAAGTGTGAGGGAGGCTTGAGGTCTTAGCTGCTTAGGTTTCCCTTGAATTGTATTTATTTTAATCTAACAATTGCCTACTCTGAAAGTATAAGCAGCCCCAGAGGTGTGCATTACCGTCTGAAGGTTTATTCAAGGTGATTCACGGTAGTGGCTGTTATGCTGCATTGGTTCATATTGGGCTTGTAAATCTTGTGCAGTATATATAGTACAGTTATACGTGCTATCTATTACCTGAGGAGCCTTATTTAAAAACTTCTCTGCATGACTCTCTCCTGTCTTTTTATCTGCTTCTATGAGGAATCTCTATCTTAGTGGTCTTTCGAATGATACGAAATCTTGAAGTAACACATCTGCCTGTTTCTACTTCATGGTTAGTCAAAAGTAGATTCTTAGTCAAGGGAGACAGTTAGGTTTCTTAATGAAACACTTGTGATATTGTTTTCTTAATCTTAGCTGTTTGGGGTTCCCTCATTATTTCAAGTGTTGGGGCACTAAAAGACACGTATAGTGCCTGAAATTAGTATAATTGGGCAAAATAAA